AATATTGTTTCATTCTTCACCTGTAGTCTTCCCTGGGCCCCATCGAGGTTCCTGTTGTTTTTTCTTCCAATGTGTCAGTGGGTATCAGGGCATGTTTTCAAAAGCATCGCTGGTGTGAGCAAGAAGTTGACTTCACAGCTCGATTTCTCGAGATCCTGAACAATTTTGCTTGACGAAAAAATGACCAAGGAGAACGGAGCCAAGCGTCTCGATGGCTGTGTAACACCAGGGACCAAAACCTACTGTAAGCGCGTTTTGGAGAGAGAGATTGAAGTGGGTGCACAGACTCTGGTAAGTGGATCCACTTCTAATTCTCAAGTGGCGAAATATATTGCTACGCTGAAAACATTGCAGTCTTCAACTCTTGAGTGAGTGGTAAATCGTTGGTGAGCTACTGCTCAGTGACTTGGGCTATTTACGAAAGCTGTGACCTGTCAGCTGCCAACGTCGCCAGCAGTGAGTCATCACCTGCGTCCACTTGAATAAAATGCAGCACTGAAAATTGAGTATGTTGTTTCGCAGTGTACTATTCTCTATTGTCAGAGTGTGAAGTATTTTGTAAATGTTGTGTTGTACAGCACCAGTGATTTGAAAATATTCCTACACTACTCGCACCAGTTCTATTATGATGAATGCATGCACCTGTACCCATAAGCACTATGTGCATGCACATACGCAGGCACGCGTGTGAGCCTACATGTTGTGTGTGTGCGCGCGCGCGCGCGCGCAGTGCATGTTGTGTGTGTGTGCGCGCGTGCGCACGTGTGCACAAGTGCATGGACAGCAGAATATGGTAACTAAGCTCAAGAGCATGCATTGTGCATGTGGGTGTATGCTATTGCGGGTGCGCGTATATGACGTACATGTATTTGTGTGTGCAAGAGGTACTTGTTTGTGAGCATGTGCATGGAAGCGTACATGTATGTATCAATGTGTGCAATGCGCACCCACATACACTTGTGGTTGTTCCATGTCATTGGGAATAGTGTTATGATTATACCTAATGGGTGCTACAATTACTAGCAGTCGTTCATTGCCAATATTGAGTTGAACCTGCATCTACATTGTACATGTACTACAAACATGAAACTGCCCCCCCCCCCCCCCCCAGAATATAATAATTGTTATCCTCCTCCAGCTCTTTGCCTGTTGCTTTATGAGAAATACTAGGAGTGAAATATTGCAAGAGTTGTGATGCAAAGCTGGTCTGAACTGCGCTCAGGGTCAGTAGGCCTCGGCCTGGATCATGAATAACGTTGTGCATGGATCATGCCGATATCCAGATCAAGGGCTAAAAAGCCCAGGAACCATGGCCTCATCTAGTCTCCATGTATACTATAACAATCTGGGGGACCATTCAATGCTTTTGACACAAAAAATTGGAGTAATACCACAAGGAATGCATAGAATGATCACCTTACCTGAAAAATAACAATTCCAAGAATGGTGGAAAATCGGCCAATTTTCTGTCCTATTTTTATTTGTGGAGGTCTAAAATGCACGGTAACCCCCCTAAAATTATATATTTATAGTTTCTATGAAGTATGAGGATCCCAAAAATAAAATAAAAAGGGCATGTCCATGAAGAAAATAGAAGCTGTGCACCCAATTGTACTTTGCGGACGGGCATTTCTGCGAAGTTCATTTTTGTACCAAAATTACTATTTTTCTGAGTAGTCAATGCGGATTGCCAGATTTTCTTGCTCAAATGCTTCACTGTGATGTGTGAAAGGACTTGCAATCACAAAGAGAAGCCAGACAACTGGTAAATCTGAAATATGACCCCAAAACAAGCAAATTTAGGCCGAAATCGATAAATACACCCACCCCTAGAAATACACCTCAAACAGCCTTATCTCTGCGGAAACACCCCCTGAATTTTTTTGTGGAGTAACATGGGATGATAATTATAGAGCACACTCATCCACAAAAAGGAGGGGGTTTATGAAGAAAAAAAATCACCCCCAAAGGGTTGGAGCCTCCTTAATTTGGTGTTTGTTTGTTTGTTTGTTTGTTTGTGTCACGGCTGGAGCTATCCCGTATCTGTCCCGTATCTGTCCCGTATCTGTGACTACAAAGGCTCTACAGGATTGTACATAACAGCTGTCCACAATATTTGCGGGCTCCTGTATCTGTCCCGTACCGTACCAATATTCGTCGTATTATGTATACGACTCCCTGATGTAGAGGGAGATTTGGAAAGAAATAGGGAGACGAAGAGGAAATTAAATTAGAATAGACGCCGATTAGGTGATAGGATGCGTCAGCATAAACATACTTTGGAAGAGAGATCCCGTCGTCTCCAAAATAAGCGTGAATGAGCGATTCAGTGCCGGTCACAGGAAACGTCGGAAGAGAGATCCCGTCGACTCCAAAACGCCGCCCGTGATCGGTAGAGTCCGGCGGTACCAGGCAACGTCAGGACAGACATCCCTTTGAGTCCAGAACGCCCGTGATCGGCAGAGTCTAAGCCGATCCCAGGAAACGACAGGACAGACATCTCGTCGAGTCCAGAACGCCCGTGATCGGCAGAGTCAGCGCCGGTCCCAGTAAACGTCAGGACAGACATCCCGTCGACGCGCAGAAAAACTAAATCTGCAGCCTCTTTTGCCGTCGAACAGGATACGTTTTTATATAGGAGACTGTAAATTTATGTAATGTCCAAATTTCGACGTGAGTAGCAGGTCACTCGCGTTGATTTTTCGACGTGCGAGCCAAATAACGCGAGCTGAACTTTCGCGTCGCAGACATCCCGTCGACGCGCAGAAAAACTAAATCTGCAGCCTCTTTTGCCGTCGGACAGGATACGTATTTTAGGAGACTGTAAAGTTATGTGATGTGCTCCACAGGCAACCATGCATTCGGCGTCGTCATTGGCTCAACAGGTCAATGCACATGTATTACTACAAAAAGGCCAGAAAATCCGATCACTGTATTAAAATCAACTAATGTTCGCTGGCGATTTAATTTCGCTGATTTCGCCGCTTGGTACCAACCGGCCAAGGTAAATCGCAGGCCAACGTTTGTCATATAGGCAAATGATGCATGATTGAGCAATGGATGCATGTGAGAGCAAAAATACCGATCGATTTCAAATTTGACGTGAAACTGCGCGTCACGTCGGAAATAACGTGCATCTTAACCTCTCTATAGAGAGGTTTCTATTTCTCATCGGCCAAATTTGGTTGATTTACAATATAAGGAGATAAAAAGAAAAGAAGGAGCAAAACAAAAGTAGATGATTATTAGAGAAATAACAATCCGCAATAAATTCTGCAAATACTTTTGCCTAACTCATAAGCAAACCGATTGAAACGTTTTTGCAATACAGTGATGTGGCCAATCAACGAAAAAGACATTCCCATCAGTTCTTATAACATGTACGATGAGCTAGGCAAAAAAGCATAAAAGCATAGCGCAGGGCCCTGAGCTTCCAAGCTCTCTCGTTATTATTATTATTCCCGTAGCTATGCAGAAGACGTTACTTCAGTAACGTCTGGCGCTAGCCAGGGTCCACACAGCTTTAATTTGGTGTTTGTGTGTTTGTGTGTTTGTGTCACTCCTGGCGCTATCCCGTATCTGTCCCGTACCGTACCATCAAACACAGCTGGCCACATACAGCTAGCCGCACTATTCAAATAGGGCTTTCAAGCGCAAGATCATAACGTGAAGCAACGAAGAATGAGTATGAATGCGAAATGTATGGGGGAATGCATGTAGGGCGATAGTGCGGTTTCGAATCCCAGGTATTAAATGCCGGAAAAAATAGGAAAATTGAAAAAATAAATAAAAAAATAGGAAGATTGAAAAAATTATAACATCCCTATTCTTTTTTTGCCGTCATCAAGGCAGTAGATGGTGTCGTATTACCCTGTCCCGTACCTGTCCCGTACCAGGTCTTGCATTAACGAGAGAGCTTGGAAGCTCAGGGCCCTACGCTATGCTTTTTTGCCTTGATGACCTAGACAAAAAAAAAGCATAGGGATGTTATAAATTCTTATAAATTGCTACTTTTTGTTTTTAGACATAACCTGGGATTCGAACCCGCACTATCGCCCTGCATACATCCCCCGATACACTTCGCATACATACTAATTCTTCCAAGTTGCTTCACGTTATGATCTTGTATTTGAAAGCCCTATTTGAATATGCATTGTGGCCAGCCGTCTTTGATTGTACGGTACGGTACGACCTCGGGGTTAGCGCCGCTTACGGGCACGGCGCCGCGTCAAGTTGAAGTAAATAACGAGATTACAGAGAATCACACTTTTACGTCCTCTTCTCTGGAACTCGAGCCCCTGGTCACAATCACACGCAATTATTTGCGACACCTCATTCTTCGCACCTCACTTCGAGTTTTCGCTACCGACACATGGCCTGGACTCCCACCTAGTCCTTCGCACCAACCGCTCTCCTACATACAAACATGGAGGCTACAGTACTGTTCTAGTCTCAGTACATACTTGTAAAACTAGAGTAGTGGAGAGGTGGCGCTGAGTCAGTGTTCGAAAATGTTCGAAAATGAGCTCACTTGCAAAGTACAATTCGCCTTTCTTTCCTTCAGCGCTTTACTGTGCTCTGCAGTGACTTTGTACAGCGGCAGCGAGCATTCTCCGGATCCGAACGTAATTTCGTGGTTGGCAGTAACGTGGTGTTTCAGACGAGCCCTGCTCCTGTATTGAGGAGTAACTCTCGACACGCTGACAAAAGCTGGCTGCTGCTTGTTGTGACACGAGGAGGACATGCTCTGCCACGCAAGAGAACGTATCGTTACGGCTTACAGGGAATTAGGTGACACTCCGCGTCGAGTGGTGAGCACCCATGTCCAAAATATTGTCATACGCCACGATTTTACAGCACATAATAACTCTGCTGTGAGTATGAGCGTGGGAACTAACAAATCCAGCAGCAGCCTGTATTTGTAATGGTCGTATTCAGCGACTGACAGGTGGAAAGCAAGAGGGAACAGAGACTCGGGTAACGACACAACAAGTTAGTCATTGGCTTCGGGCAATGGGCCAAAGATGCTTTGAATAGAAGTAGCATCAACCAGATAAAGCGCAGCGGGGTGCCTGGGCGGAATGCAGAAGGAACGCTTGGAGGCGATGTAGGCCGGAAAACGTTCTTCTTCTTCCTAAGTTGCCATTGTTAGTTTAGACCGCAAGTATATGTGTAAACTCTGTCTACCAGTCTGCGGAGAGCAGAGCAACGGTACCCAGTCATGGATAGCAGAACGTTGGCATCTGATGTCATCAGCTATGAAAACGGTAAGATTATTTTGTGATCAATGTGAGAAAGGGGAAAGTGAGTGCCCAAAAGAAGAAAACAAGGTGAACATTAACTACAGTGAACTAAGAATATTAGCTATGTCAAGTATTTTGCTGATGATAGTATTAGCTTCCCACGTTGGGTGGCTACTTTTCGTGTTCTCGAAGTGTCCCGTGGTCGTTCTGTGCCGTAGTCCTTCGTCCTTCATCATCACTTTGTCATAGCTAACATTCTTAGTTCGCGGTGATATTTAGCTAGAACTCATCTTGAATGCGCTCACCTTCCCCTTTCCTGAGTTTTTTTTATAACTTAGAACATTCCAAGTCACAGTGGAAGGCTGTTGGTTTGCAGATTCCAGACGTGATGCATTTTTAAAGCATCAGGTCGTTGAATGTCAGTATCACATAATTTTAAAAGTCAGTCTGGTGGTAACCGTAGAACGTTCTAACTCGCCTGTATCCTGCTTATCATTGCTAGTGTTGGACAAACAACAGAATGATAGTCTTAGGTTTACGTCCTTGCCAATTTCATTGAAGACTATTTTGATTTATTGATTCTACTGTTGCTCATGTGCAGCAGTGGTGGCCGAGTGGTTAAGGCGATTGACTAGAAATCAATTGGGCTCTGCCCGCACAGGTTCGAATCCTGTTCACTGCGTTGATATTTTTTTTCTTTGTCCCGTCTTCAGCTTTTGCATTGTTATGTGCACGTGTCCTCTTTTTTTGCTGTAGATAGTCCCAGAGTAAGCAGTGCGAGAAGCAGTGAGTCCTGGAACCAAGATCTGATCGTGTATGGAGTTTCAATCGGCGTTCCACTCTTGCTCCTTGTCGTGATGGTTCTCATTTTCTGGAAACACCGGGTAAGATCTAGGGATTCACGAATCGCTGGTCGATTCTAATTCAACAATGATAAGTCAAAGCCGCTGGGGTGGGTTTTGAGTTTTTCAAATCTTATTCTTATGTAGAATCTTCCTGCTGCACACTTCTAGGCTAGGCCCACCAGGCCTTTTCTGTCAAAAGATTCAACTAGTTTTGCCGATTCCATTCCAAACCACTTTATCACGAGTCTACTAAAGCATGATGTTCCCGAGTGCGGACAGGGTTCCATTTTGAAGTGGTTCCCAAAAACAGGATTCTGCATTCAGAGTACCCACTTTAGCAAACCACGTCTAGATTTGTTGTCACGAAATACAGACATCATCCACCCTGTATTTACTGTGGTTATATTTTGACTTGGGGCTCCCCGTGTGCTAGTTTGTACATGGAGTGTGTGGGTTACAGTGAGGGCTGCCTCCCACCCGCCAGTGTAGAATCACAGGAAGTGTGAGTTACGAAGTCTGAAGAAAATGTTGAACGGTCTCTGCTGGGATGACGACTACACCATAGCTCAGTGGTTAGAGCATCGCTAGGTACAGACGAGGGTCCCTGGTTCGAGTCCTGGTGGTGACAGTAATCTTTTCTTCAGACTTTTCCTGTTTGCATCTTTCCCTCAAGCCAGTGAATACCCTGTATTCCATAGTTCATTTGATCATCGTACTATGACTATAAGCCACACTAACTTTCCTTAGGTGGAATTACGAGTACGGCATATGCTCCGAAAAACACTGTGCGCGTATTGTCGCTCTGCTTACATACAGCAAAAGATGATTGATGCAGATAAGGCCAGACCTCGCCGGCAACTCCCATCGGCATGGCGTGGTGCCGAGCTTCTAGCTGCCAGTATGGTCACTGCTGCTGGGTCACCGGTCAAGGTCAGTTAGCAATGCTCGTTGACTTCGTTGCGGGGGGGGGGGGGGGGGTGCTATCCGGGGAATGTTCAGTAGGGTCCGTTTTCGAAGTCTGTTTATGCAGTAGAATTCATGCGAGCACTGTGGCAAATCTTCTGTCAAACCTTCACCATCACTCCTTACACTGGGGATCACACACGACTATGGACCCCTTCTTGCTACACTACGGGGTGCTGCGTTCGAATCTCGCTCGTGAATCCTTCTTTTGCAACGAGACGCCTTTGTGTTGCCATCCTACAAGTGTACTTGTACGTAGCAGTGGTGGCCGAGTGGTTAAGGCGATTGACTAGAAATCAATTGGGCTCTGCCCGCACAGGTTCGAATCCTGTTCACTGCGTAGTCATCTTTTTTTCTTCTAATTTTGTATTATTTTTGCTTTGCGAAGGTTATTCGCAGAACATTAAGTATAATTTTGTAATGTACCCTGCCAGTTGTCACCTTGGTATACTCAGGCTGCGTGTACACGACAACGCACGGCCAGTTTTCCGTTTTCAGTCCCGCATTTCTTTTTTCGTTTTCGTGCGTTTACACGATCAAAGCTGATCCGAGGTACTAGGTGGTCTCCGTTTGTATCGTTTTCGCGCGTCTACACGGGAGCAAAGGATCCGCAAAAGTTGGTCATGTGCCAAGTGTTGTCGTGGAAGCACTAATCACACTCAAGCAATAGTTCAGAACAGGCCACAAAACAACACTCGTCACAATCATGATGAAAATTATAAAAACAATTTTTTGGATTGTCGGATCCGTGTAAACGGCCGAAAACGAAACACACGTGACGGAAAACGAGGCCAGCATACCGTTTCGACTGTTTACACACCCAAATTTATCCGGCAGAACATTTCCGTTTTCAAATTCTTCCACCTTGGCCAGCGTTTTCGTTTTCTTCCGTTTTGGTGTGCAACTTTTACGTTTTGCTCTTCGTACTGTGTAAATGAACCATGCATCCAAAAGGATTTTCTTGCGTTATCACCCCCAGCGTTGTCGTGTAAACGCAGCCTCAGGCATGAGCAACCAGTACAATTGCATAGGTGGTGATATAGTAGCGAGGAATGCACAGTAGAACTTTTCATCTGCCAACACCGTGTCTTCATTTTCTTTTCGTCCTTTTCATACACACAGGTGATTCCAGAATGTGCTATGCAGGTCGGTGCTCAGCTGGGTCAAGGTCGCTATAGCAACGTGTGCCGGGCAACCATTCGACTGCAGGAGCACAAGCAGAGAAAGGGCTCCAAAGCGGTGGCAGTGAAAATCCTTTCAAGTGAGTAGATCTGCAGGGTTGTATTTCTACTATTTTATGAAAAGTGGGTCGTGACCAGTTTCAATAATCAATATTGCTTCTTGCTTCTTCAGTTGCAAGTCCTGTTATGAGATATAAGATACCATAATTTTGATGGCCAATACAATATTGTCTACTAACGAGGGACGACCGGTACTAGTATTAAATGTTCTGTATGTTCTGCATTTTTGGAATGAGGTACATATTGCCAGCACCTTCACAGGAAAAACCACCTCAAAAGCATGTTTGTTCTCTCGCTCTTCTGTCCAACAACCTTCCCCCCCCCCCCACTCCACTCCCCTTCTGCTCCCCACTTCCCTCCCCTCCTCCCCCCCCCCCACCCACTCAATCTCACTCATCTCACTCAATCTCACTCCCCCCCCCCCCCCACACTCGACCCCACTTCCACCTCTTCGCCCTCCCCCTCTCCCTCACTCAACTCCACTCCTCCCCTCTCCTCATCCACCCCCCCCCCCTTTCCCGGTGTTCTAGACTCTACTGAAGACTCACACCAGGCAGTTCAGGCCATGCTGGCAGACCTGGCGGTGATGACAAAGCTTTCGCAGCACGACAGCATAGTCGGCATACTGTTTGGTGGACTATTTCAAGGTAACCGCTCCTCGGGAAATGCTGAGAAACAGAATACGCCAGATGAAACTATGATGACAGATTCTTTGCAAAATCAGTGGTCAATGTTGGCCAATGTAGTGCTTCTTGGATTTGAGTATAAGGCATGAATGTGATGATGGCAGAAGTCAAACAATCACCACAAATAACGACTTCTGGATCCACTCTGATTATACGGCAAAGTCCAGAATGTGGTATGTGGGCTCCTCGTGTCACATGCAGGTGTGAATTCTTTCTGTACCAGTAATAGGTCCCTGATCGGGGGAGCCCAGTCCAGTAACAACCAGTGGATGTGTCTCACCGTACTGTTACGGAATACAGTGAAACGAGTCTAAGACGAACGCTCAAGGGACGTTCAAAGTGTGGTCTCTCTTACCAGGTGGTATGCTTATCCAGGGTCATTTGACTGGAAGTAGCATCCCTTGATCCTGGTTGAAGTGGTCTTCTGGGACAGGTGGTCACCTTATCCGAGTGGTCGCCTTTACAGGTTTTACTGTACACCCAAACGTGATCCATACAAAACAGGATCAGGTGCATCCACATGTCAGGGCTTTTCATGATTCCGGGCTGGAGGTGACGTAGCACTTTCAAGCACTGTTCATTTGGAACGCGATAATATGTCAGGAAGTTGGAATACCTTTCACTGTTGATATGTATTTGGCTTTTTTCTGAATACCAAATGCCGCTGTCTGATGATAGTTGTAATGCAGGGAAACATGAAGGTACAGCTACACGGTCTTGGGCTTCCGTTGTATGTGTACTCAGTATTTCCATATTTGACTTCACCCCGTGTTGCCCTGGCTGCAGGTAGTCCCTGTGTCGTTATGGAGTACATGGACGGCGGAGACCTGCATACGTACATACGCCATGTCAAGGCTTGCTCTTCCATCACCACCGGCAACAGCAGCAGCAGCATCGTCACCACCACCAGCATCAACAGCATCAACAGCAGTCATACTGCAGCGCTGTCCATCCAGCAAGCCATTGGCGTGGTCCTGCAAGTAGCTAAGGGTATGGCCATCTTGGCTGAGCACAAGGTAAATATGACTGGTCAATTCAGAACTCACCACTTACAATAATAGAGAGGTTCCGGATAACGTCATTCCAGTCGACTCCTGGTAAAACGAACACCATTGAGCAGGATAGTTAGTTTTTTTTTATAGCCAAAGTTTGTTATAACAGAAATGCACTTACACTATACAAGCAGCAAGTCATGACTGGCAAGTGGTCCAGGACAGTATGAGTGCACTTGGTTTACATGCAGTCCTACAATATTTGGTTAGTTATGAACGGAAGCTATACGCTATAAAGGGTCAGTTTGGTATTGGTTCAAACAGGGACATGGACAGGGGTTCGCTATATAACGAAATTCGCTATATGCGAGTTCGTTAAAAGTGGAGTTGACTGTACGTTGGTCAAAAAACGTAATCGATCTGCGGAAAGTCTTTAAAAAAGTACACTGCACGTGGATCTGTGTTACGCCATACGAAGTTGTCGAATCACGTAGTTGCCCTTGACAACTAGGAATGCACCAGTGAGCGACCAGGTCGACCTGGGAAATGAGTCATAATGTTTTACCCCAATCCACTGACGGAGCACCTCCGTTACCAGAGTCCTACCTACGTACTCTCTGGAGACAGCTTTTTTATTTTTTACTATTGAACACTCACTACATCATGAACTAACATGAGGAGGAGAACTTGACACAATGGTACATATCCAGCAGGACGGAGTGGGTGGGACCTGTGAAGCTCAGCCGACCAAGGGTCTTGGCATCACAGCTGCACATGTGCACCAAAGGAAACAAAATGGGGAGTGGAAGGGCGGGAAGCAGGAGAGCAAGAACTCTAAGGGTAGGAAAGAAAGGAGGGAGGGGAGGAAACCAGGAAACTTGTTATTCCAAGATATGAGTGCAAACAAGTACGCAAACAAGTACAAAGATAGCAGTATCAAGATCATGATGCTGAGGCGAAAGTAGAGACTTGCCATAAGTGTAGTGCAAATTCGCGAATTAACGGGTATTCCCGTCTCCTTACGTAAAGTTGCTCAACTTTACATAATGCGGAACCTCTCTAATGCCATGACATCACTGATGATGTCATATTCCTTCAGTGATCCAGACAAGACTGTGAGATGAAGGTCTCAACCTAGCCATAATTTCAAAGGAAACATTGTTCACTTTTGGTGACCATCTACCTCTTTCCTATCAAACTTGCATGCAATCAAAATGCTCAATGAATTTGTTTCTGATTTTATTATCTATTTATTGTCTTCTCTGTGAAGGACTAGTTCAATACAACGCTCTAGTTTGATTATGGACTATCATAAGTATTTCAAATAACTGCCCACTCCGGTACTGTGTAAAATAATCGATACAGTTTTTAAAAGTGAACAGATATTGCCGGAACTCAGTATTGTTATTTGAGGTGGACATGCTGTAACCTTGTGCTGTAGAAGTTCAGTGAGGTGTATGTGTGTATGCTGTATCCTTGTGTTCTAGGTCGTCCACCGTGCCGTGTCCGCTCGTAACATGCTGGTGCGCGAACACGGAAATGGCAGCTTGCAGGTGAAGATATCCGACCTTGGCGTGGCGAGGCAACTCCTAAACAGCCACGAGTATCACCAGCTAACGATGGTGAGTGAGCTCTGGCTTTTACTAAGCTGTAGCCACCAATACAGTGGTCCCCGTTATAATCCGGCATCTTTTGTGCTACGGAAATTCTGCTGGATTTGGGAGGGAGCTGGACTAGAAAATCTGATACACTGCAATGTGCATGAAGAGGACATTTGTGTTGCTGAAAATTGTAATGGAAATTTCACTGAGGAATGGAAACAAATGGTTAAGGATAGCAAAGGTGGCAGAGTGTAGATGATGAGACTTTGAAAGCATGCATGTGTGATAGTGGTGACTGCTATTCCAAACCACCAGCCCAATGCATTACCGTTTCCTGACGTGAATTGCAGTGTGCCACACCAGAATACATATGCACCTCTTCAGCCCACAATACATCCTTGCAGGTTTTAAAAATTGAAATAGGAGCCATCACTCCCCAAAGCCTTGACATGAAGACATAGTCATGACACTTTTCTGAAATGTGAGTTGATGCATCTAACCGGACTGACCTGTACTGCCTTGTACTACAGAACACGGACGCCATGAAGTGGATGGCTGTGCAGGCAATGCGTGACGGAGTATTCAACACGGAGAGTGACATGTACGTACAGTGTTATGAAAACAAACTGAATTAGAGCTGCTGTGGTGGCCATAGAAATCCGTGAAGAAGTCAAGCGGCCACGGGGCGCTGGCCGTGCAGCCGTGAGAACTGCTGGTCCCTATTTACAGTGTTACAATGCGTGTACGCGCTAAGCAAGTAAGGGCGCCGGCCCAGGTCATTCCACCGGATTTAAATGCCCATAGCAGTATATGACATGTATTCATGGTACTTATTGGACAAAGGCACTACATCTTCAGTATAGCACATCTCCAAGGGTCCTAAAAATCTTTCTTGTCTAGTCTAGGTTCTCTATCTTGATGGTCCAAAGACTGGGGAACTGCACGAAGGGTACTCATAAAAGTGCTATGCAAAGACAAACGCATATTATATCCAGAGTATGTCATACTGAAATTCTCAGTATAACGATTAGCATCACGGGTATTGCTTTCTTGCGGCTATCTCCAGAAAGCTCTCTGTAAGTAGCCTTGAATATCACTATCACCCACCTTTATCATAAATCAGTGGTTGTTTTCTTGGCGTGATGCGCTGCTCTCCTTCCTGTGTTCTGCAGATGGTCGTTTGGAGTTCTTGTGTGGGAGGTCCTGACATGTGGTGAGTGTCTTTAGAGCAGAGAGGTTAACGAGATGATTGTCCCACGTGTCTTAGGGCTGCCTTTCTTCTTGTAGGTTTTATTATCCATGAGCTCTGTCGTGTTGGCCGGTGTCGTCTCATCTCGGATTTCTTTCTCCGAAACTGTAATAATATACGAGTTGTTAGCACTCACCTCCCACCGCTTTAGGACATACATGTGCAACTTGAACCACAGACGGCAGTGGCGTTTCTACGTATGCGAAAAACTCTGTCTCCAGCCGAGTGTCATGCGAACTGCGCGCGCACTTGTGTGTGTGTGTGTGTGTGTGTGTGTGTGTGTGTGTGTGTGTATCTGTGTGTGTATGTGCTTGCAGGCGAGGTTCCGTACTCTGATGTGGAGAATTGGCTGCTACCAGCGGTGCTTCAGAGTGGAAAGCGTCTTATGAAGCCACTCTGCTGTCCTCATGATGTGTAAGTCAGTGGGTGCTTAGCGATGCTTTGTGCAGCGCAGCGCAGCGCAGCGCAGGCAGTAACTCACCGGTTTTACTGTGCATTGTTCCTTGCAACTAAATTCTATTCATGAGCTGAGCGTCTGCTGTGCGTGAGGAAGCAAAAGAAAGTATTCCACTCGCTGTACTGCCTTAGTTGGCCAGACTTAACCCCTGAAATGTACTCTCCTTCTGCATTGGTCGCAGGTGAAATCCAGCTTCTGGTTTCATACATCACGCATACTTTCTATCCACATTAGTGACAGTTGGTCTAACGGAGGTTGTTATACACAAGATTGACTGTAATAAGAATAATCATATTGCTGTGAAGGTGTGCTATTGGAGACAAGACAAACCTGTAGCTTGTGTTTTGACAGGTACGACTTGATGACTTCCTGCTGGTGTTTGGATGCATCAGCTAGGCCATCATTCAGCCAGCTGGAGACAGCGTTTTCGAATAGGCTTCAGGAAATGAAGGTGAGGTACCAAGCTCTACTTTCCATCTTCATCCTCTCTCTTCCATCTCTCTCTCTCTCTCTCTCTCTCTCTCTCTCTCTCTCTCTTCCCTTCTCTCTCTCTCTCTCTCTCTCTCTCTCTCTCTCTCTCTCTCTCTCTCTCTCTCTCTCTCTCTCTCTCTCTCCTTCTCTCACTATCTCTCTCTCCTTCACTCTCTCTCTCATTCTCTCTCTCTTATTCTCTCTCTCTCTTATTCTCTCTCCCTCTCCCTCTCTCTCTCTCTCTCTCTCTCTCTCTCTCTCTCTCTCTCTCTCTCTCTCTCTCTCTCTCTCTCTCTCTCTCTCTCTCTCTCTCTCTCTCTCTCTCTCTCTCTCTCTCTCTCTCTCTCTCTCTCTCTCTCTCTCTCTCTCTCTCTCTCTCTCTCTCTCTCTCTCTCTCTCTCTCTCTCTCTCTCTCTCTCTCTCTCTCTCTCTCTCTCTCTCTCTCTCTCTCTCTCTCTCTCTCTATCTATCTATCTATCTATCTATCTATCTACCTCTCTTCTCTCTCTCTCTCTCTCTCTCTCTTCTTTCTCTCTCTCTCTTTCTCTCTCTCTCTCTCTCTCTCTCTCTCTCTCTCTCTCTCTCTCTCTCTCTCTCTTTCTTTCTTTCTCAGATTCTCTCACTTGCTGCCACAAAGATGCGCTTTCAAAGTTACAATTGACCTGGCGTACTGAGGCCGGGTGATTGATATGACCAAGGACTTTCTGGCCAGGGTCGGGAAGGGTTGGGTTCTCGTATTGTGGATACTGGCTGTCTTTTTCTGTCTGTTTCACTCTCATTTTCCCTATAAGTGTGTGTGTGTGTGTGTGTGTGTGTGTGTGTGTGTGTGTGTGTGTGTGCATGCTCGCCCGCGTAGCTCTCTCAAGCCTATGCATTTCATAGGAAGCTAGCAGGTTCTGAGTTTGTCTTCTGAGCACATAATTATCAAGAACTGTTGTGGCGGTGTTCTGGGCCTCTAATCTATGTTTTGCAATTATACCATTTTCTTTCCAGGTCAAGCAAGCAGACACATGTAACAATGAAAAGGAGGCAGCACTGCAGAGATCTCCCCTGGAAAACATGACCGGTGACCAAGATATGTCAACGGTATGTAGCCTAGTATCTGTCTATCTTTTTTTGCCATTCACCAACATGTGGAAAAAAAGACTTGTGCAATCGCATGCATTACAAACGCACTGAAAATCCAAACAAATAATTCCATAGATAATATCGGTGTGATATCAATGCTACCATGCCTATCATAGCCTATGCCATCAGAGCTTTGCCTGATTCCTTTTGATGCTCGACATCAACCACCTATAGTAAACTGCCCAGCGGGATTATGTCATCACTGGCCGATATTTTGTCATCATTGGCCTATTATGATGCCATCCTCGGCCGATATTATATCATCGCCGGCTGATATACTGTCATCGTTACTAACTCCATGGCAGGTCATTTGTCTTGAAGCCAAGTCTCAGAACTGTTCAAGTTAAGTCTGATTTACAATTCATTTCACGTACGGGAAACGCGTCATATCACGAAGAAGTTGACTTGAGCTCAACTTGTTTTTTCCGTACGCGAAATGAAGTATGAATCGGCCTTTATTCTTTTTAAAACTCTTTGCTGTAGGAGAACTCGGCTACGGAATTCGGTCTCTCCCATCTGACAGTCCAGAGCAGGGACCGATCACAATCGACATCGCTCGTCCTACACACCATCGCAACACCATTCCACACATTTCAACCGACCAGGCGCTACACCTTGCCCCCGGGTATGATCATAGTCGACTCCAGTGATACTGCACATCCGGGTCATGCTGTCATGTATGAGCAATGACATAGTAATGAACAAGTATCACCAGCCATGTATGCTCGTCCCGCATATTATTTAATTATATGAAATGAGTATGTACATGGCTGCTCAGTGAAATCCATTCGTGTCACAACAAAGAAATGCGCCGGGCGTTGCGTGACTCTAGACTTGCGAACGCTGGACTGCGAAATGGTGCGCAACACAAACTCGAATGACACGACTGGGTTTCATGAGCTGGACTGTGTCTGATGTCCAGTGAGACTTGTACAGCCTGTATGTGGGCCATGGCCGAACTAACACATACAGAACAAGCACACGCACACACATACAGCTCCAGTGACACACATAATTAATCATACGGTGGGCTGGTACGGCCCTGACGACATCCCGGCAGGAGGCTATGAAATTACGGCACTCTTATAGTGTGCAGAGTGCTACCAAACTGCAGTACTACTAGGCATTCCTTGCACATACCTCACTAGATTCTATTCCATTTCTACACTACAGTTCTTTTGGTACATGTACCAGTAGAGTAAGGGTGATAGTAGCGTGCCATCTGTGTATACTCAGAAAGTGGTGGACATCACGCAACTGCATTGTAAATAAAAGCGGTGTGTAAGTTGCCAAATGCCGCCGAGTGTGTGCCTAAAAGCAACCAGGTATGATACACTCAGATGTAACCATGCATCATGCTATGATACTGAAGCGGCACAAGGACTAGTGATTGGCCGGCCTGTAGACCTGGACATGTAGCTAGGAGTAGCCGCAGGAGGGATGTACAAGCCATCGGTTCTAATCTAACAATTATTGTCATCTGTTGGCATTTTTGCTTTGCTTCATGTTGGCATGGCACACGTGTGGTATGATCTCATGATCTCCTGCATTTCTTGAGCTATTTGTAAAACCTGTTTGAGTACCAATGTTGCTATGGACAATGTTGCTATGGACAATGTTGCTATGGATTATGCGATAGTCATAGTGGCGACAGTGCCAACATATCCATTGTGCTACTTCCAAGTTTGCCTGTATGTAGCGACAGGGCTGTAGTGAATTTGCTACACCGGCCTACTCCCTAGATTTCAATCTATATTATGGATATGGCACAATCAACTGTAGGTTTATGTTTTACATGCTAAGTTTGTTTCCATAGTATGAGCACTCTGTCACTCTGTGTTAGCATGAGTACATTGAGTCTCATTTACACGGCTGAGTTGGGTAGCTTCGGGTAGTTTCCATGGGTGGCACGGGTACCCTGTGGGGTAATGTTTCCATGGTAACACCACAATGCGCCCTTCCTTTACACACTGGGTAGACATTATTACATGAATTTTGTACACGTCCACTGTACATGATGTCGTCTGCGACTTCGGGTTTTCGGGTACTATTCTGTACCCGTCTACTCGTCCTCATGGGTAGCACGGGTACTGACTACCCGTGCACACCGCTAATCTTTTCACTAGTTCTTTGAATAGCAATGTCCAAGCTTGTTGGAATTGATTACCTGCGCTGATGGTACAAGACCCTTCTGGAATTGATCCGCACTAAATGCTTCCGGAAAAAAGGTGCAGAGGAAATCTGCTCTGCTGAGTGGCAAGAATCGCCCATCAGCACAGTCATCAGAAAATAATTTTACCTTAGCAAGCACGACACACTGTGGCGTTTGCTGTACAGTGAAACCTGTGTAAGGTGACCGCTCAAAGGACCTTCGACATGCGGTCGCTGTGTACAGGTGGTCTTCTTATCCAGGGTCATTTGACTGAAATTGACAACCCTTGGTCCTGGTTGTAGCGGTCCCCTTGGACAGTTGGTCGCCATGACAGGTTTTACGGTATTTGAATGCGAATATAACGCCTTAATTAATGCGATGCACCCTTGGTCCATGTTCAATATTCCTATCAATTTAATTAATGCGATGTACCCTTGGTCCATGTTCAATATTCCTATCAAGTTAATTAATGCGATGCACCCTTGGTTCGTGTTCAATATTCCTATCAATTAATTACCATGGGAAGGGGATACAAATGGGAAACTACCAAGCAGATTATTTGTAGTGTGCAGATCGTGATGGAGACTGCACTCTGTCGGTATGACATCACACGTCCATTCAAAGCCCAAAACACGTCATGGTGCAAAGGATCCTTGAACATGATTGTTGTGCACGAAAAAAACAACCACATGTGCGCACGCGTGCATGCACGTGCACACACACATACACACACACACACGCCGAAAACGTTATCTTAGTAACTCCGCAGACAAAAAATAAGATACATCTGATGGTGCAAACAGCATGGCTCTTCCAGTAATGCGATGCTATACAATAGAAGTTAACTGCAACGTTGCGGTAATAATCAGGGGATAGGGGGCATCAGCTGTACTGCCATATGCCATAAGCTCAATATCAAGTCGGACCAAAATAGTAAACGAAAATACTGTATTGGGAGGGGGGGGGGGGTAAATTTATGAGATGCAGCGGCGCACAAACAGATCTTGTAGAAACAGATTAATGTTATTGCTTTGCGTTGCTAGCATGCAAAGCAGACATAGAGCAGTAGCAATAAAACAAAATGCAGAAAGCGTTCGGTGATGCAGTTCTGGCCAGAGAAATCCAACCTCATGAATATAGAAGAGCCGTCACGTTCAAGTGCACAGAGCTGAGTGTGTGTGTGTGGTGCTAGGACTGCCTAGCCGCCAGCACTATTATATTCATAGAGGTAGATTATCCCTTGCGGCCAGGTCAGTATTAGTAATAATAGGGTGCTCCAGAAAAGAGCTTGAAATACTTAATCAAAAGCAGCACCTTGTCATGACGTAAGCGCAGCAGTATTGTTCATACGATCGTAATTAGTCTGTGCACCTAACAAGAGCCACCGCCATAGCAGTATTGCAGTGCACGGTGCTAGCAGTGTTGTACGTGCAAATCAAGCCAGTCACAAGCACACGACACAGCCATGTATGATCAAACGTACTATTGGGAATGCACACTCGATGAAAGTTCTAACCACATTTTCTCTCAAGCAATGTGTAGTCAACAGTGTGTACAATACGACAAAGACCGTTAGGGTATCTTGACAAAGACCGTTAGGGTATCTTGACAAAGACGTCCTGTGTTACCGACAGCGCAGGCGACAATAACAGTACCAGCAGCGCAAGCAGCAGCAACAACAACAGCAAGCGGCAACACAACATTAATAACACAAGAAACACTGGCACATAACTATGCTGTCCAATGGTTGTAGATTACGGATATATCCTGTTCTTCCTCCACACCTAGTGATGTTTCAGTTTTGAACGTCAGCTTGAGTAGCAGCGTCAGCTCATGCCCCTGCTCCGGTACAGTATGCTGGAGCATACGCAGTGCATGGACCATGCTGGGGGACATTACACAAGATGCTCCAGTGACAATCCACCTCCAGGCTTGACGGTTGCGTTGCTCTGGTCAACAGATCATATGCTCCAGCATAATGCCTGACTATACGGACGACGAACTGTCATCTGACTCATTTCCAGTATCGACTTTACGTAATCGCTGCTGGCGTGCATCTCGCCGAGCTTCCTGATCTCGCGGAGAGTGTTTCAGGCGTGGCGCTGGTGGATCCTTGTAGTGTTGCTCTGTGATGATTCTCTCGCTGATGGCCGGAGGTGGAACGATGGCATCCGGTGCCTGCTGCTGTAGAGGAGGCTTGTTGTTGCCACCGTCACTGTTGTCGATGTTGCTTGTGGCAGGGTTGATCTCTCTGGGTGATATGGTGTGGATTACGAGAACGGGGGATTCCCCACTGCCGGTGATCTGGTTTTCTATGATGGGTTGATCTGGATACAAACACCCAACCATACACACACAGAGACAGACATGTACACACACATGTACACACACACACACACACACACACACACACACACACACACACACACACACACACACACACACACACACACACACACACTTGTACTTGTACTTGTACTTGCTCACTGCCAAAACTGGTCACGTGGGTCTCCCCGGGAGAGGGGAGAGAGACTCAAAAGGAATCTTGGAAAGATGACTCAATTGGCCATTGAACCACCCAACGGCCGACACCCCCTGAAATCCCCAAACTAGGGTGGATTTGAAATGATCCCACTTATGGGCTCACCACACCTCAGTAAGTGGGTGAGGACAAGGTGCAGAAAAAGGATTGGCGGCATCAGGGTATCCGTCCCGGGATCCAACTGCAGGTACCCCTGCCCCCAGTGAAGGTAATACTTGGTACTAGTGTGGGTGGCTAAATCAGAGTGGATCTGATATAAGCTTCACTAGCACCATGCACACACACACATGCACACTCACACACATGCACACTCACACACATATAGTATAAGGAGGAATCTAGGGTCGTGTCCGCCATCCATGCGTACACACTCATTGCTGGACTGCCAGCACGATTGCACTCATGCAGTGAACCTATCCTCCAGCTTTTACAGAATTAGGTGAAAGAAAGATGAAAGCTGTATTGAAATGGATGAAAGCATTTTTAAACCTCCACATGCACCCTACCCTGTAAGAAGACCTTAGGGTCTGTTGGAAATGCCCAAGTAAAATAATAAAACTAGGCCACCTACAATTAATTCGTTGTTTCGGGTCACTTCACTTATCCGTACCAGGGTCGGTCGGTCGGCTTCATCTTTTTCATTTTTTTTGGTTACTGCGGTGTGCATACATGATTATGCATATCCAATGGCTTTTGTCCATCAATCCAGTCTATCAAATCTTACTGTAGACGATCCAGCGCACTCATTGTCCCATCAGATCCAGGACCAGATCTTTGCCTCGCTGGCGAACGAGTCTGACGAGCAGCTCTCACCAAAACCTTTGTCAATGAGCGACGCGGTGGCGGAGCTGATGCTGTTTCAGGACCGATTGCGGATCGAAGACAACCAGTTACCTCGTCACCAAGCGCTGCATCCTGTCATTTGGCTGCTTCTGAGCATGAGGTCAATGTCTGGACTGCTAATATTAGGATCATGCGTGTCTAGTCTGTACATTTGCATGCACAATATTTTTAAAAACATTTTGCGGTCGGGTGAAAAAAGACGGTCGGTCGGGTGACCCGAAACAACGAATTAATTCTGGGTGGCCCTATGATACTAAAATACAATACATGAACCCTCGGGCGCTTTGACTACTCATGCTTGCACTCCTCCTGCCAGTATAGCTTAGATTTTGACTGCATCTCATTATGCTGCTCAGCATTGTTGAGCAGCATCCAGATTTTTACGAAAATAATGAACGGAAAAGCAGTATACATACCTGATGGAGAGGTTTCAGCTACGGTCGTGAGCTCCAGCTTTTTCTGAGCTGGCCCCATCATCTCATACTTGTCCATGTTGTATGGTGCCAGTGATACATTGTACGGTGCTGAGGGATCTGCAGTGCGGCTATACACAGTGATGAAACACGCAGAAAGAGACACGTAGCAGTTGCAGGTAAAGCTACATAGAGATGGGGAAAGTGTGCGTATGTGTGTTGGAAAGGGGAGGCATGCGTGTGTGCGTGTTTGTGTCTCTTGCGACGGGTGTATACATGGTACATTGTGCGTGTGTGTGTGTGTGCGCGCGTGTATGTGTGTGTGCGCGTCTGCGCGCGCGCGAATGTCTAACATACCATAATGTCGCATATAAAAGCAGGTGTTTACGGCGGTATTAGCCAGGGTTCGAACTATGCTTCTATTCAAAGGATGCTTCTATTCAAAACTTGCTTCTACGTCAACATCATCCGTCTACACTGTGCAGTGCATACTGCCACGCATGTACTTGCACATGTACTTTGCAGAGAGCGGCTTCTATTCAAATCGTGCTTCTGTGTCACGGCGCATTTCGAAAAATCGGCTTTTATTCAAGTGATGCTTCTATACAGGTCATGCCTTTATACAGGTCATGCCTATATACAGGTCATGCTTCTATACAGGTCATGCCTCTATACAGGTCATGCTTCTATACAGGTCATGCCTTTATACAGGTCATGCCTCTATACAGGTCATGCTTCTATACAGGTCATGCCTTTATACAGGTCATGCCTTTATACAGGTCATGCCTATATACAGGTCATGCCTCTATACAGGTCATGCCTTTATACGCGACACTACAGTAGCTTGTTTGCTCCCATTGCCTCAGCGATGGGTATGTGTGAGTATGTAAGTGTAAGTGTAAGAAACGGGGGGGGGGGGGGGGAGAAAAACAGCCACACACCGGAAGTAACAAAGAGGCACAAACGGTAATACAGGCAAACACACACATACACACACACACACACACTTTCTCTTTCACACACACACACAATTGTACATAGAAAACGAGACAATCAGAGAGGGGAGGAGAAAGAAAGAAAGAAAGAGAAAGAGAGATAGAGAGAGAGAGATAGAGAGAGAGAGGCAGCCAGAGCAACAGCAAGAGAAAGTGCTCCTTGAAAAGCTCTCCACATGCACCTGATAACCAGAAAAACACATCCCCACAAACGTCACACACATACCTGCTCAAGCTGTTGGCACTTGTCTTGCGTATGATAGAGCCGGGTGCCGCAGGATCATAGTTCATGTAGTCCGGTCCAGCCTGTACTTTGTGGACAGGCATGTTCTCATACAGCCTCTCTCCACACTCATCTAGCATGCCAGCCAGGATGGAGAACGTAGGCCGTGCCTCCGGGTCCGGAACCCAACACGACATCATCATTCTGTACCTGAGCATCGAGATGGAAGAAAAAACCCGGTTGATCCAATTATTTCCAAAAGAACTGTTCATTGTGTATGTGTGTGTGTGTGTGTGTGTGTGTGTGTGCGTGTTTGTGTGTGTGTTTGTGTGCATGTGTGCTGTGTGTGTGTGTGTGTGTGTGTGTGTGTGTGCGTGTGTGTGTGTGTGTGTGTGTGTGTGTGTGTGTGTGCGCGTATGTGTTTGTGTGTGTTTCCCTATGCAATAATACCATTCCTGTTCGTTGATACCGTCCCCTGTGAGCTGCACCTTACGAGTATACTACATGGCACAATCAAACCACTCACTTGTGAGGGAGGGTGAGGAGGAGGAGGGGGGATGCTCTATGAAGTATGCACCACATGATATCATATGCTTGGTTTTCTGAGTTCCACATGATACTTCTGAACCCCCGTTGACTTATTATCTTCCGCATTTTCCACTCATTTTATCTTGAATTCAAGTCGTTTAGCGCAAATCTTTCTAGGGGGGGGGGGGGGGATTACGAGTGGTGTAGGGGCGGCTTATACTGGGTAATACATCACGTGGAACTCCAACCAGCACACAAAGCTGGCGTGTTGAATTTGTAGTTTCTATTACATCACTGAATTTGTATTTCGTGTACGTCATGTTGAACACAAGTATGGTGGAACACGCTTGCGCGATCACCGGGCAAAGATTGGGCAGCATCCGCGGCACTTCCAGGTTGTCAAGGGTGGTGCACGCACAGGACATCAAATAGCGTTATGTAAAAAATTCCTTCCTGGAGAGGGTGTCCTTATTCCTTGGACTTTTGCTGACTTGGCTCCTAGACTAATGCATTTTGCGTGTGATTTCACCTCAAACCAATGCTACTTACACGTCCACTGGACAATCATCGGGTGGCGGGAGACGAATGTTTTGCTTGAGCACCTCCAGCATCTCATGGTTAGCTACACCGACATAGGGTGTGATGCCAAGGGAGAAGATCTCCCACATCACTACACCAAACGCCCACTGGATGCACGTGGACAGACATGCGTGGGGTACATGCATGGTACGCATATCCACACGTGAACACACACACAAGACACACACACACGCAAGACACACACACACACACAAGACACACACACACGCAAGACACACACACACACGCATGACACGCGAACACACGCGAACACACACACACACACACGCACATGGAAATCAGAAAAAACACAAGCTGCACCCAACCATGTGTAGCTGGGTCTCTACGTGAACCGTTAATATTTTTCATTTTTGCCTCTCTCAAAAGCTCCAGAATTCCAGGCCTATTGCAAGCGAATTTTAGCGCCGCTGATAGTTAAGGGGCGTGGACGTCACGAGGTGTTTGTCGCACTGGAAACAAAGCGTCTCTGTAAGTTTGTATTTCTGGTGATGGTTTGGCCTGGAGAGCAGTATATTAGTGGTGCTTTCCATGCACAATCTTCCTCAGCCTACTCCAGCTCAACTAATGAGGGGTGAATTCCCCGAAACACTGTGTATTGAGCAGGGAGTGGTGCTTTCTTGCAGGTTTGCCGAGTGGAAGGTGCGACGTGCTCCTCGTGTGCTCCGGATGGCAGTCGTGAGTCAGTCAAGTGTCAAGTGTCGGCAAGAAGCGTGTGTTCCTCGTTGGAACAACCAACTTCATGACTAATGCCGCCGAAGTCGCAACTTCTAAGTTCGTGTTGGTGATAGTTTTTAGGAGACTGCAATTACTGCATTAAAAGCCCCCGCTCCAGCAGGGTGATCTCTCCTACAGGCATGTGCAACACACATACACACACACACACACACACACACACACACATACTTACCACATCGGACTGCACTGTGAACACTTGGAGAGTGAGGCTCTCAAACGACATCCACTTGACGGGCAATGGACGAGCAGTTCCCATTCGGTAGTAGTTGTCCTTCTCAATATCACGTGCCAATCCAAAATCACCGATCTTCACCACCAAATCTTTGTTCAGCCTGCAGAAGCACAGGAGCCAGTACAGGCATGATTAAATTCATGGTATTTTGATCCTGTATTGACCAAAGAGAAAATTTACCTCCGTTTTCACATTGGCATTCATGTGAACAAATATGTATGGATATGCACATATGCACACACACACACAAACACACACACACACACACACACACACACACACACACACACACACACACACACACACACACATACCCATGCATACAGACACACATGTCCAGACACATGTACACATTCCAAACACATCTTGGTATGACATCACATACAACACTCCCTACTTACATGCAGTTTCTAGCAGCCAGATCACGATGCACAAAGCTCAGACTAGACAGGTAGTCCATACCCTGTGCTACCTGAGTGCAGAAGCTGAGCAAAACCTTGGTACTCGACTGCAGCAGAATACACACATGCAAACCTAATCAGAACAGAGACTGAATGAGCACGCACAACTTGTCCCACTGGCTTGTGTGTGTCATTGATGTTTCCGATGATCAATTAGGACCATGAACATTTCCCATCAAATACCCATTTCCCTTCAGCACTCCTGGGACATGCAAAGCTCTTCAATAGGCTTCCAAAGCATCGGGTGTTTCTGAAATAGTACATCAGTCAATGTTCGCTATGTATCCGGTGAAAAATATAGTTCAACAGAGTTGTTCCTCTTACAGTGGAATTGGCTTCATCGACAAGGTTGGCCACGGATCCTCTCATTTTCCTCAGGTACGTCCGTAGATCTCCGTAGTGCATATACTCTAGACACACCATCGGCAGGTCCTCCGTATCCAAGGCAACGGCTAACAATGACATCACATTCTGGTGCTTGAAGTCCTTCAGCATGACCGCCTCTTCCAAGAACTCGTCGACGTCGCTTTCTGTCTCGATAGCTGTACAGCCCGACAAGAAATGTAACACAATTAATTTGTATTCCAGCACGCAAAGCATAAAAGCCACTGGAAATTTTGATGAGGAGTTTCACTGTTTCACACAATTTCTCTTCAAAACCGGTCTATAGGTGACAATTTGTACTGAAATTTATAATTAAATTTTGATAAGTTCACGCGCCAAAGAATCACAAACGTCTTGCCAGCTCAAAATGCACACAGGGGAAAGCATGATGCCAGTTTCATAGAACACACTTGAGGAATGACATGGCATTGGAATACAGGTACAGCACCTTTCAGTGTTTTGATGGCACATGGTAGTGGCTCCTCGACTTCGTCCATGATGACATTGCCAATGCACACACGCCCAAACGCACCTGTGAATCAGATAGAACACACAGCAATACATAAGCAGCCATTGAGACAGGATATGATTTATTTTAGTAATGTTCCAAATCTAGTACACCTTCTGCCTGGTCCTAGTAGCTTGAATCACTTTTGCTTGTTTCTCAGTTTCGATCAAGTATTCTCCAGACAACTCTCTTAAAAAATAAGAAATGATACCATCATAGGAAAGGTGTTTACTCCCCACATCGAAGCTCGCGCTTTTCCACCGACTTGACTTGACCCATGACTGACTCACGACTGCCATCTATCCTCATAATAATACTTCAGGAAGTAATACTTATCATGCGACAGTTGCTGTGGCAGTCAGCCAGGCTACCACTGCTCATGGTTCCGTGCATAAGTCACAACCCCGAGCAAGCGTCCTCCTAGATCACCCATTCAATTGAATGAGGCAAGATACATACATGTAAGAGAAAAAACCTGTGTTTCCGGGCCCTGCGTACCAAGAGGAATCCTATACTGTATTGACCAGACACATTTTACGGTACCAAAGTACTGTGGATCGGATGGTGTGCACCCTGGGATCAAGTGGAATCCTGTCAAATCAGGACAGTTTCCGCTGCACCAAGGGTGTCCGGTACGGGCAGGCTGTTAAAAAATGAGAGTAAAATTTAATTATCGTGTCCGTTCCCGAAGGAAACTCACGACGGCCGCTAACACCCGGTAAACCCTAGGCAGGTTGCTATTGTAGCTCCAACCGACAAAATATTATCTTGATTTGCATCCGTGCCCTGGAACACGGATGAGTGTCTCTCACCTCTGCCAATCTCATCCCCGACCAGTATGGCCGAACGGGGCACGATGTGTCCTTGCACACTGTCCATCCACTTGTCGCACATCTTCTTCATCATGATTGGCACTAAACGCGCAGGAGGCAAGCAAGGGCACGAGAGTTAGATAATCAGTAGCAAGATTGGCCGGTGTGATCGATGTGAATGATGATATGACAGAAGGAAAGTTAGGAACCAGAGCTTGTTCAGTAGTGCTAATACCTAACCGCACGTCCAGCGTCACTAATTGCGTTTTTAGCAAATGAAGAGTGTAGTTGCAAAACGCAACAGGCACCAAATTTGATAAAATTGAGATATTGAGACCAGTGTAACCAAAAGGTCTAGGGGCACCTTCGGTTGAAGTTTTCACATTCAAACTCAGACTAGGACAACTTCAAAAAATGGTGTCCAAGTACGGTTTTGGCTACAACCTGCACATAAAATGAATCCGTTTTGGACAGTATCAGAAAAACGATTAGATGGATATGTTGCATTAAGCATCTAAACTCTCTTCAAGTTTAGAATACAACCACTGGCTTGACCATCTTTACTAGTTCCATCACCACCGGAGCAGTCTAGCTAATCTAGTGTGCAATTTACACTACTACAAAAAACCAATCAGCCAGTGTCGCTATCAAATACTCTTGTGCATAGCTATGGGTGTTATGCAAGACCTACAGTTGTTCTGGCTGTAGTTGGTTGCTGATGGGTCGCACTGCTGGGAGTGTAGCGATGATACGTATGTGCCAGCACCACTGCCTCCGTTGACCGAGGTGTGCGAGTACTGCGGATTGAAGGAGCTGTGCGTGTCCGAGAAGCGATCGCTGGAAACGGGTAGAAAGAACAGTGACAGAGAGCAATGAAAGGGAGGTGGTCACCAATGAGCACAACGCATGTGTCGACACGTCACGTCTTGGGCTTTCGTGCATGCACGGGTTGCAGAGGGGTGCACACAGTGTCTGTTCAATGACTACTGCCCTCTCAGAATAGCATGATAGATTGCGTTATCATGTATGCACTGCACCAGTTGTAATTCCTTCACGGACAAACAGGTGCAAGAGGACAAGGTCAATGCAGAAATCAGCAGCACTCATCTCCTAAACAAATGTTGGTGTCGTTTTCTCCTTTAACTTCTCCCTTCCATGCCATGGCCAGCCACTACACGCCCAGGCCCAATCACTGCCAGCAGAGCTCTAGTACTGTATGTCGTCGAAGAACTGCGTGAACAGCTTCCTAGCCTAGATTGTCCTCATTTTCACGTACTACAGTCTACGCACAGTTGAGTCATGTCATGTACTACAGTCTACGCACAGTTGAGTCATGTCATGTATACAGTGGTATGCTGTGTTTGGTGAAACCCTAGTCTGGTCGTTCGTTGGCGCTCCAATCTTTGCCACGCGACAGTACTCTATACGAGTCTCGTATGCATACCCCACCACCGCACTCCTTTATTCACTTCAATGTCCGGAGATACGTGGATTTTGTAAACAAAAATATTTAAAAAAAGGAAAATACCTGTCTCGTTTCACAGTTGACCGCCCCTTCTCCGCATCGTCCTGCGCTGCACGCGTCTTTTGTGTCTGACACCGGACAATGACCTGAATGAGCAGTATCACCAGCAACAGGGCGGCAACGGAGCCAGCGATGATGCCAGCCAGTTCCGGCGTTGAGAGCCCAGCATCATGATCACCACCGCCAACTGGAGGTGCTGTTGTGGCCACTGCCAGACATAACAATTTCAAGAAAAACACACATGAGGGAAGAATGTTGTTAATTTTCAATGACTGATCTTCTGCCTTCAAGATGCAGCATGAATATCTTAGTACACGATATCACAATAAAATATATACTGAACCTTGTGTATGGCTGGCTAGGTTGGATAAACGATGATTGAAGAATGAGTGCGGTTTTCTTCCTCCACTCTGCCTTACGGGCTAAGTCCGGGGCGGGGGTGTTCGACATCAATCATACCGTAGGCTACTACAGTTGTATGCGGCTTTAGAGAAGTGTGTGTCTCATTGTCGCAGTCACGTTTGTCTGTGTGTCACACTGTGTGCGTGTAACATTGTGTGTGTGTGTGTGTGTGTTTGTGTGTGTGTGTGTGTGTGTGTTTCTGTGTGTGTGTGTCCATGCGCGCGCGTGTGTCTCCCCATATGTGCAGAGGTGGATCTAGGGGAGGGCGCGGTGGGCGCACGCCCTCCCCTCAAATATTTCGATTTTTTGTAGTGCATGTACATGGGCAGTTGCGCAAGTGTTTGCACATGCTGTGACAAGTAGTTTCTAGTGTCAGATGGGAAAGTTCTTCTGAACACGGAATAGTTGTTCTCTTTTCTGCGAAACGTACGTCGTGTGAAACAACTTGTTTTGTAGTCAACTAGTCCATCACAATGTCATGCATGAGGAGTACTCTTAGACTTTGGTTGACTTTTAGTTTTGAAATTAGTGTTCAGTTGACGAACTTGTTTAGCTAAGTTGGTGAAGGGGATGGCGCACCGCCCGCCGAGCGGCCAGGGAGCCAACACACTCTCCACGGATTTTTCGCGAAGTGAACTTGCGCTTCACCAGCTGCTCAGTCGAGCGATCCGTCTTTGGAGGAGAATTCGGACCACAGCGAAGATCCTGAGATCGAGGTCTGCACAGACACTGATCTTCCCCAAATGGAATCCGAAGTAGATTCTGACGACGATTGTGGGACTCTCAGTAGTAATGATGCGAGTCAGGAGCGTTTACCTGTTGAAACTATCGCAGATGACGACGTTGCGACTGTCACGAATGTGGCTGGTAGCACTGCTACGCAGCGAAGTTACTCGGGTGCTGTTGATGCAGCTACTACAGCCAGAGTTCTCAATGATGTGGTTGAAAAAGTGGGAGTGAGTGCATGTGCTAAAATAGTAATTCTACATAACCTCTAAGCCTATGACGTAAAATAGCCGCTATGTCGTAATGTGTACAAAATACATGTACCGCATGGGTTCCTAGTCATGAATATTACCCGCGCCCTCCCCTCGGCTGAACTCGGGATCCGCCGCTGGTGTGCCCTTAGGGATGACTGGTTGTGATAGGGTTGGAGTTGGCATGCCAATCTAGAGTAGCTCATAATGCTTTCAGACAGATATCGTCTTGGCTACCTCATGTCCTGGGCAAGAGCAAACACTGCAGACAATGGAGATAGACTTACGTGCACAGATTTTTACCATGGACAGCACCGTGCTACCCTTAGTTACATGACCACCGGTCAAATTGCCCTGGCGAGCACTGCACTCCAAGTGGTTCAGATTTGCTTTGAAGTTGTCGACGGTGTACGGGTACGAGGTGATGGTGTAGTTGAGGTAGGCTTCGAATGCTATGGCTTCATCTGATTTGCCAGTGCAAGGTAATGACATCCTGAAGGCTGCACGCATGTGAGACAAAAGTACATTGAAAGGCAATTTTTTACTTATGGTTCATGTACATCACGGATTTTCTCTTAAATTAATGAAGTTCCTTAGTCTGTTTGAAAGCGCCCCAGCGTGTGTGAGGTTCACAAATCTGAAGGATGCTGCAATGCAGCATAGTACTACACAACAACAGCAACAACACCGACATTTGAGAATAACGATTGGAACCAACAAGAATAGCAGCAGCAGCATCAGCCACAACAGCAGCAGCAGCGGAGGCAGCAGCAAGCTAGTGCTTCCTTACACGTGTAGTTGGTAGAAGGTACACAGCCCATCTCTGGTGTGTTCGCCTCGGGTGTCTCCAATACCGTAGTGTTCTCTGAGCCAAAGTACATAGTGTAGTCAACCGTTTCCTGGGACAGCACAGAGGACGGTCAAAGGTTCACTTTGGATGAGCAACTAAGCAGAGATAGACTGAAGGTAAATATTATCACAATTGCCTGCTGTGCAGCCTACATGTACAGTAAGACCTGAAACTAAAGACCACCGTGATACTGGCACTACCGACCACTTCGCCAGGCATGGCCGGTCTCACATTCAAAATGCACTGTGACTAGCGACTACCTGCTGAACGCGACCAGCGACCGCCTTTTCTGGTCCTAAAGATGATTTTTGACCCGTAACTAGCGATCGCGATGTAGGAAATCAAATGTTGCTCGTAGCTCCTTCTTGAAATTTTGATGATTTTCCGTGGTCCTGAAAGGCATCTTTCGATACTACGGCTGAAGAAATGAACACAGGTCATTTTGGACTGTGGAGTCGGTGTGGACTTCGTACACCTGTCAGAATTTCAAGCGCTGTCAAGAATAAACATGATAGGAAACGTCTTGGGGAGCGTATCGAAAGCGCTCTCTGATCGATGTTACTACTCGGAGGAGAAACGAAGACTGAGTGCCTCTGTCACCCCAGTCATACAGACGAATCGACGATGGCATCAAGAAATCCAGAAACAAAGCAGCACCGCAAGGTCCTGATGCTGGAGAATCGCGTTCAAGCAATCGAGAAGTCGCAACAAGGACAGTCGGTACGATTGATCGCTTGAACAAATTTGAAGCCCAGCGCAAAACGAAACTTCCACAGGGAACGTTTGACTCCTGGCTTCAGAAGTAGGAGCTGAATTTGATGTCCGCAAAAAAATTAATCTTCTCTCTCTCTCTCTCCATCTCTCTGTCTTTCTCTCCAAGTGTTGTTTGACCTGAAATAAGAATGGCATTGCGCAAGTCTTGGGGAATTCTATTAGCTGCATTTTTGATATACATATCATATAATGGGATCCATAATAGTCGCGCGGTGCAAACCTCTAACTAAAGACGACTTTTGCTGGCACCAGGGGGTGGTCGGTAGTCACAGGTTTTACTGTACCGAGTTTAGCCAGAACCACTATCTGATCAGCGTGTTTACGCACATGGGAGTGCTGAAATGCAAACCATTGATTGTGAGACGCTGACTGAAAGCACCAGGATTCACTTTCTCCTGCCAAATCAGCATGGCCTTGCACTCCTGCATGTGATAACTCTACACTTGTCTGAACCCTCTAGGCAGAGATGTGGTGTTTCTCACCAGTTCGTGGATCCTAATTGTGTAGTGGAATGGCGAGGCATCGAAACTAACCTTTCGAACTCAGAATTCCATCCGAAAAGCTACAAATGTTACATTTCATTAATTTCATTTTGTTTTGCACTCAAGCAGAACTCAAAGATGGTAGGCAACACAGAGTTCTGGTGTTCGTCTTACGTTGGGTGACCGATTCCACTCCATGGCAATGAACGTGTACTGTTCGCCGAATCGAGCCAGGTCTGAAGTTTTCAGAAACTTCAGGGACGGTGCCTCTTGTCCGTTGATTATGAAATTGATAGGTTCTGGACACAAACATGGAGGCCAAGAGACCCAGGATGACATCACAAAACACAAAGATCATTACCAAACATCCAGAAACAACATACTGTAAACTCAGAAACCTTTGGGATCCTGAAATAATCACGATTTTCGCGATAGGTGTCAAATCGTGAAAATAAATGGGTGGGAGATGCGAAATTGTAGGCTCGAGTCAATCGTCAAATTGACTCCAATCGCAAACATTTGCAGGCGCAAAATGGTCTGTCATCGCAATTCGTGAACTAAAGCGGGCGCAAAGGATTCCGGGTTTACACTATTCTGCTGGCCCAGAGCAGCACAAGAAAGGCAAAATGATACCACCGTCCTGTCGGTCGCCGAAGAACTGGGGGGGGGGGTCAGCACCCTCGCCTAGACCGTTCTTATTTCCAGGCATTAGAGTCTACGCACGGTCGAGTCACCGTGTATACATCGATACGCGGTGCTTTGTGAAATCCTAACCTGGTCGTTCTTCGGCGCCCGACAGTCCTGCACCTCACCGGAGCTCAGATTAGATCAGGGAAATTAACTCACTATACGTTAACCCCTGAAGATTACGGCAGAAAACTGTGTTATCTAACGCATGGGTTACTCACTAAGCTGACCGTGATATTTAACACAGCAGTTATTTTATCACTGCGACTAAGCTGCCAAAGGTGAAAAATGACCAGGGTTTTCACTCCGAGTGTGGACGTAGCTGATCACCGGCAAATCAACTCAAAGCGCGTCTTGTGATACTTTAGCACTGTGTATCTGGGTCGCTAGCTTCTGTGCAGTGTTCGCATAATCACTGACCGCCGCTATTGATACGAGTGACGGCGTTATTGTTGCCCTGCGTTACGTGTGTGAGTAACGACATCATCATCAATGAAATGGACATGATGTGAGTCTCTGTGTTATGTAGCTGAATTTGTCATCCTCTCCAATAGGCACAGGAGTGAATTTTTTTTACACATTACCATTTTCACGGGTCGTCGCTGGCCTCATGAACCCCATGCTGTCCTGCCTGCATTATGTGTACTTCGAGCAAGATTATGAACTTGATTACTGTAACCACAAACATTCAGTGAGCGTAGATTGATTCCTCCATGAGAAGAGCCCACTGGGGATGTAAGGGTAGAAAACAGCTGATGGGGTTCACGTACTTTAGATTATGTAGTGTAACTGTGTCTGTAAGAGGGTGTCCGTCAATTCCAACCTACTGCCGCAAATCGCCTTGGCACTGGCATGCAAGTAATTAGTTAGTTAGTAATGGCTTGCTTCGATCCTTGCACCTGGTTACCGCTCGACCTGGCAACAATGTGAATGTTTGCGTGCGTGTGTATGTACGCGCGCATGCACGCATGTATCTGTCCCTGACCCTCTCGCACAAACACAGCGACAACACTGGTACTCTTCACAATGAAACGGCCCTCAGCCACACAATGGGCCGCACTCGAAAACTTACGTTTGAACTTGTTTTCTACACGGAACTCTTCGTCTACACGTAAGCTGAACCCGCGTGCATTCTCCAGGCGACAGCAGCACGCAATGAGCCATAACACCACCATTCCGGCAGCGGGCAGAGGACGCGCTCTGCCGCGCAATGTCCCTTCTTTCATCTTGCACACTCGCGTGGCCCGCTGCTTGCCTCACGATCACTGCGTCAGCTCCACGCGCTGGCCTGAGCGTTGGTTCTGGATGACCTCCCTCTCAGCGCTACCACTACCTAATGGTGAGAAGGGTTAGGTGGAACAAGACCTTCACACCTCGAAGACGCCGTGCTGAAGTCTGCCAACTACCGTCCAGGTGAAATCTTCGTACCCGTAAACTGAGTACATCCACTTCAGAGACTGCCGTGTCTGCAATACATCAGCTGAGCAAGGTGTGTTCCGGTTCAAGTTTCCTCAGCCGTGAACAACAACAATACCTAAATTATGTTCTTCCGACATTAGCAGATGACCAAGGCCTTTGCATACCAGGAGCAACAAATATGCGCCCAGGGAGAGAAAGGATTTGCGAAAAATTCTGGTGGCTCGTGATCTAGAGCTCTAGTGAGCTCTGTGGCTACTGCGGGTATGTGCTCTTTGTGTATGTATGTGTTTCTAGGTCTATTTCCACTGCCCGCGAGCAAGCATTGCATGCGGCGTAGATCTACCTGAGCAGACAGGATAGTATACCTCGACTAGGTCGCTAACCAGAGCTGCATGCATGATTGCAGAGGCTCCAGACTCCAGGCCAGCGGCTAGCTAGCTCCACGTGCTCTCACTGTTGGATGTACAGATTCGGTAGAGTTTGCGGTCGCACTTACTGCCATCGCTACGCCCCGTAGCTTCTCGTCCAGCTCTACATTGTGTGTGCGTTGGCGGGAAGAAATGACAAGCTAGGCGTAGAGGTAGCCGTGAATCCTACAAACCTGTACTGTAGTGTCAAAACGAAGCTCGTGAAGTCAGCAACGGCTCCGTTCATGCATGTGCAGCCATCCATTGCCGTGGCTTTGTGTTTTGAAAGACATCTCAAGTAGTTATCTCGCGTAATGTTGAAAGAGCATGAATGAATAATGTGTATGCTGATGACTGGGTACCCGTTATCGTATGAATGAGTGCAAGCTCGACTGCGCAATCTATCCTCTAGTCTTGAACTACAGTGTATTCATCCGCCTTGTATCGTGGAGAATATGGACTTCTTTCCTCTGGTGTCTCAGCTTTGCCACCATCCACAGCAGTGAGAATGCACAAATCAGCGGCATATGCAAGGCTGTCGGCTGGTCAATAAACGTCACCCGCTCATTTGGCGATTGACAACACGTCTCCATTTCCTAGTGCTCACTCAAACGCGAAATCGATCAGAAAGGTCAAGGTGCGGGGAACCTACAAAAAATCACAGTCCACACACACACACACACACACACACACACACACACACACACACACACACACACACACACACACCTGGTCCTGGTCCTGGTAAACACTGCCATTACGGTCACCTGTCCCCTTACGGGGCCGACGATAGAACGACGAGCGGGACCATGTTTGAGAGAGCCGCGCGCGACACACACACACACACACACACACGCACACGCACACACACACACACACACACACACACACACACACACACACACATACACTTTTCCTTATTGGCAGAAGATCTTGTTTGTTTGTGGACGCTTTGCAAGTCAACACTAAAGCAATCAGTTGTCTCCGTGTGTTTTTAGTTCTTAGACTAGTAGTTAGAGTGGCATTTCCACATCGGGGGGTTTGTGGCTTGGGATACCCAACATGAATACAGAATAGCAAGAGCAGCGCTTGACCACCGTTGAGAATGCAGTCATGTTACGACTAAGAGTACGAGTCACATGACTGTAGATTTGCAGCATATCCGATTGAACGCGGCACATACATGTACATTTCTATACCATAATTATTTTTTCACCAGAAACTTGGCATGACAGGGTCTATTTCTGTAACCACAAACAAGACTGAACTGCACAATTGCTGTATCCTGGAACCTTTCGGCACATACTAGTATCAACTCGCCAAGCGTTACCAGCGTCCTTTGCCCCTTCCTGGGGGCGGATGCGAGCGATGTGCCAAGAGGAGTTAATTTGGTTGTGTCTGCAGCGCTTGCCCTGCCACATTTCTGCCACAGAGCGTCCCTCAAACTCCACATGTTTTGTTTGGTCTACAGTACGACTCGAGTAGTATCCGTATTCGCCTCTAGAGTAGCACAGCACACCACGTACAGAGGGCGGGGGACACTGTCAGTGTACTTGGCAAGAACACACTCCATGCAGCGGAGAGACAGCAAATCTCCTGTCATCTCCGCTCCAGAATAGGAATAGTACTAGTAAGCACGTTGACTAGTCTAGACTATAGTCAGGTACGGGTAATGGTTTCCCATTTGGGCCATGCTAGAAAATCGCGCATTCCACAATGATTTCCCAAGATTTCCCAAGATTTCCCAAGGTCCGACACGAAATGGTCATGCTTTGTTCCCAACGTAGTCGTTATCATTGCATGACTGCATGACTGCTGAAGACTAGGTGCAAGTACTAAGTAGTAGTACAGTCATGTAGATGAAGGGGTGTCGCTCATGTCGCTCATTGAGACTCGGAGAAAATTACATGTACATGTACAGGGAAAATACAGTATCCCGGCATGTGTTCTGCTTATTGCTTCATGGTTTTCAGTGTGTAATGATGTATACATGTACCTGTACATGTATACATCATAATTATTCAAGGCTATTGGAATCTCAATTTCCGAATCTATATTCCAATCTAAAAATAATGCCTAGTGCATGTACAAAGAATTGCTCGTCCACTCGTCCACTCGTCCACTCGTCCACTCGGATGTGTCCTCGTCTGTTCTAGGTTTGCATACTAGTAGTATAATCACCTACGTATTGGGGGCCGTTTGTTAGTCCCTGCTCCCGTCACGGCAAATATATACACTCTGTTTTGATTAATAAATCTCGGGTGGTGAGCCTGTAGTATTAATAAGTATAATTATGTTATCGCATGGTTGCAAGGGCCTTATGGCATATTATTGCCCCGAGAGGTTAGCCCAAGGGCCGTAGGCCCGAGGGCTAACCTCGAGGGGCAATAATATGCCATAAGGCCCGCAGCAACCATGCGATAACAAATTTATCACATGGCCCACAGAGCAGACCATTGGGCTGCTGTTGAAATTAGCCCAAATGCCAACACATTATGACCACAATGTATATTGATGTGCTATCATTATCAAAACAGGAAAAATGAAGACATTTCTCCTACACCCTAACAAAAAGTCTTCTACAGGCCATCAGAGAGTATACAGTACTGAAAGACGGAGACAGAAAAAAAGTGCCGGCACCGCATCGTCATAGCAATAGACATGGCAACGACAATAAAATACAGCAGAATCATAATTTCAATTGAAAAATTAAGAGTGCTACCACAAAGAGTTTCTTCATGTTTACATGTGTATCAGGAAGTTGTCAAATACAGTACTGCAACAAGTGCAAGTATTCGACGACTCCCTGGTGTGTAATTCTGAGGACAATGTTTCTTCTTTTTTTCAGCTCCAGATAGCTGTATTTTTCATTGCAAAACATTCCTGAATTGTTGTGTTTGTTGTTCAAGCAAAGGTGAGATGAGCCTGGTAAGAGTTTTGCGTGGCACATGAAGACCACACACAGGCAGTGACTTTGCGAGGATTTGAAAACGCACGACGCTGAGTTGAATTTGTGTTATTTCAAATAATTGTTTGTGATCACAGTACCACTTCGAGCAGAACTGAATCTTATCCACAAGCTTACCGACGGTCAGGCTGCCAACATGACTGAACAAATGATCCCTGCAAGCACCACACGGCAGACGTCCGAGGCCATGTCCATTGCCGGGATATCCATCTCCAAAAAGGATTCCATCTTCGTCTCAATGCTACACTGCGACTCGTCGTAGAGTCGACTAGTCGTACAGTCTACAGAGTCGTCGTACGATCGTAGTCACCTGGTCACGCGATCACTGAAATAAACTATTTTTTTGCGGGCAAATAAACTATTTTTTTGCGGGCAATATCGCATATTATTGCTCGCGGCGCGAAAGGTGCTGATTCGCTGGAGTACGGGCAACAATCACGTGCCATGTGATAAAATTTATTAATAATGTAAGGAGGAACACTTTCCCCTCATTGGACCGTTCCGCACCTGAGCCGTCCAAGTTGGAAGGTTGTTGGTTTGCGCTTCGTAGATATGTTGGGGCTAGGTGTCAGGTGGTTGAATGTCTCAATACCCTTGTCAGTATCCTTGTCAGTTTTGTGCCTTGGTGTCGCACTATCTGACCGTATCGTTACCTTGGTGGAGTGTTAGTCAAAACTAGCAACTATTACTTATCGGTCCTTGGCTCTTCACTCTCTATTGGAGCAATAATAACAGGCATCTCCGTATCGACTCCAGTATTCGTTATTTTCTTGTTGGTGATGATTTGGTCTATTCAATTTAACAGGTGACGTACCCCTCCCCCCCCCCCCCCAACCCCTCTTCTTAGCCTAGCTGTCTCCATCAGTTTTCATATGCAGCGCTGTAGCTCTGTGTCTCACTCTCAGATCAGTGGTTCAGTCTTCTCAGAAATCGTCTGCCCTGCTGTACAGTCATCGTGCTATCCTGCGATAGCACACACGGTGTGCCAGAAACCTCTCAACCGAACCAGTTACCACCAATTGGTGCGCACATACATGTACATACATACATGTACATATATGTGCTGCGCTGATGAGTTCAAAAAGAACGAAACAGCATGCTGTCCGCAGATTGAGTACATGTACATATATGTACATGTATGTACATGTATGTACATACATGTACATACATGTACATACATACATGTACATACATACATGTACATACATGTACATATATGTACATACATGGACACACATATTGTCATTGTACTTGTACGTGTATGAAAAGTTGAAATTCGTCATTTCCAGTACTTGCATGGTACTGAGCCCTGGAGGACCCATTCCCTATCGCTATGACTTTGATCAAAGAGCTTTAGAAACGGTGTGATACATGACATGTAGTGTAGTACATGTACATGTGCAACTACAGTATTGAAACTACATTCCTAGTCTTGAAGGGGTAATGAATCTACTAATGACCATCGACACCACGTGACCTTTGCCAGTTATGCAATACTAGGGATTATACCAGGATCACTCCTGTTGCTTTATGGGCAACGATGGTTTGAATTCGCTCCTGTCTGATGGCCTCTTATGGTACGTGTTGATAAAATGTAGTGGATATGTTAGATTTGACGCCGCCCAGTAAAAAGTACTTCAATGTACGTCTGCTAGTAATACAACAAGTACCATTGTTAATGCTAGGAAAGGTCTCGACGGCAGCGTCATTGACGATTCTAGGTATATAAGAGACGGACAATGGGGGTCATTGAACTACTGGCGTCGCAATGTGAAAGCAAAAGCGGAATTCCTGCACGTATCCATGGAACCAAGATGATCTGACGATCCTGACGATCTACATGTACATGTATACTCTATAATGTATTACATTGTTGCTAGTT